TGTCGCCCCACTCGAAGCGGTTCCTGATCCAAAGCCCGATCTGGTCCTGAGTCCAATGTGGATCCGGCAGGAAGTGGCTCGCTGGAGTTCGATCCGCCCTGGCCCTGCGTTAATCGACCACAAACAACCCCCCCCCCCCTGCGGTCTCGACCACCCACCATGGCCCAGGCCGAGCCGCCTCTGGGCCGAGAACGATGCCCCATGGCGCCTGCGCACACAACACTCGAGGACTGGTCTGGATGGTTGGGAAACAGATTTGCCAAGTTCCGCTAGCTGCTACTGTACAGTACTGTAAGTCTAGGGTGCGTTCTATGTTCTCAGAGGCTGGAGCAGCATATTCTGATCACATCCTGGATGCACCCGACAGCTTCGTCGTTCCAGTCACTGTGCTTCTCGACGGGCCCGTCTTGCCATCTTCCCAGCTACGCCTACCATTCCTGCGACCATTCCTACCAAGCCCACTTCTGAGTCCAGTGCCTCTGTCGAAAACAACCTCCCTTCGTTCAGACATCTTTCTACCGTGCACACTTTGCGTTCGTGGCTTCTTCACGCTATGACCGCATTTTGGCTCATCATTCTCCTCTGCAGCACAGTCAATGCTCTACATGTCACTATACGCATCTTGGAGAGGAAGATTAGAAGCTCGAGATGCAATTGACACGCGCAGCTTAGCTGCGACGAGCCAGCGTTGAACGCGAGAGCCTTGGATCAGCGAGGTTCAGGATCAGCGAGGTTCAGGATCATCGAGATGGCATGATTCTGCATTGGCTAGCCTGGGATTCCGTAGAGGGAAGAGAACACCACACTGCAATTTGGCCGTAGTCAAATTCCTGCCAACGACGACTATCCACCTCTCGGAACGGATCGAGGTCTGCTATTGTGCGCCGGCAGCTTTGGCTGCTATCAGGAGACACTCCGCGAGGGTGGTAAACGACTTGACTGGTGTCTGTTACAGTTCAAGCATTCCGACAGGTTGTCGACAATAGTCGTCATCCTGGACGACTGTGCGGTATGGGTTGCGCTGTCCCTCAGATGGTCGAGCATGAGCCAAGATCACGAAGCAAAGCACTGCAAGAGTACGGAGCGATGAGCAATCATTTCCTAAAACAAGGACGTCGACTTCCGACAAAGCCGCGGTCCACGAGTCATGAGATAGCTTAATCAATAAACAGGTTAATCATTCAAGCACGGTGCACGAGGCCGGCACTACGTACACTTCGGTTATCCCTAGTCGTGCCTCGTAAGGTCGACGAACCAACAAACTTTACAACTGCATGCTAGCAAGCCGGTATAACAGAATAAGCGGGGCTTCCCTGCACAAGCGTGTTTGCTCGAACTGGGGATTCTGAGCGATCCTTGGCGCAGGTGTTCTACCCTCCGGGTTGGGGCCGTTTGCCATGCCGTCAAAACAGCGTTATTGTGACTGTGAGAGAACGGCACATGACACTTGACACATGCGATACCCTGGACATCACTGCATAGCACCTGCCTTTTGAGGATACCTGCCTCCTCAGGACACCTGCATCCCGATACGGTGCTGACTCTTGCGTCACCATTCAGCCTTGGCCGTGCACACTGATTGGCTGTC